TGAGCCACCTGGCCAGGGCTATCTGCTCTTTTCTAGAAAAGAAGATTTTATTTACTCATTTTTAGAGGGGAAGGGAGAGAGAAAGAAAGGGAGAGAAACATCCAACTAGGGACCAGGCCTGTAACCCACAGATGTCCCCCAACCTGGGATCAAACCGGTGACCTTCTGCTTTGCAGGACTTTGCTCAACCGAGCTCTTGAGGGTGCTTATTTCAAAAGTGTATTAATCTAGATGCACAGAAACAATGCACAGAACTTGCTTGAGGCAAAGATCTTGCTTAATGCTTTTACTAAAGAAGGTGGGTCTGGGGTGGGAATGACTGCCATGGCTTGCCCTGTTAGGAACCTGACTTCTTTTAGGCATGTTTTTCAGATTTAAAGCCAAACTGCAAGTCACAAAGACAAACTCAATACTGTACCTGGTAGGGAAAGTCCCTTCCTGCATCCCATAAAGAGCTGCACAATGCCAGAATGCTTCGCTTTGCTGATGTCTACCTAGACATCAGTATTCCAAAAAAGGAGAAGCTGCCCTGATTGGGTGGCCCAGTTGGTTGGAGCATGGTCGCACACACCAAAAGGTTGTGGGTTCAACTGCCGGTCAGGGCACATGCCTAAGCTGTGGTTTGATCCCCAATTGGGGCGTGTACCGGAGGCAACCGATGGATGTTTTCCTCTTTCTCTCCTCTCCCCCTCCCCCCGTCTCTGAAATCAATAAATATATCCTCAGGTGATGATTTTTTAAAAGGGAGAAGCCTCCTAACCTATCCTCTGATTGGTTAACCCCAGCAACTTCCATGTCCTCCAGCCATAAAAACTCCTAAGCCCTGCATTTGGGGTGCAGAACCTGGGATCCTATCTTGGTGTTCTCACCCTCTGCAGATCCTCAAGAAACGGACCTTTGCTTTTATCAGTGTCCCTAGCCTAAATTCTTTTATACCAGGAGATAATTCCCCAAACTCCTTGGTAACATTATCACCCTGAGTTTCCTTTCCATACAACCCCCTTTTCTGCCCACACTTGAATGGCTCACAAAGCCTCAAATATTTACTGTCTTTCTGACCCTTTAGAGTCCAGTTTTTGTGGTTGTGTGTGTGTGTGTGTGTGTGTATGTGTGTGTGAGAGAGAGAGTATCCTCTCTGGTGGCTTTTGCACATCTGCAGAGTTGTGTGGTTGCAACAGAAATCCAAAGACTCAAGGGGCCCAAATTAACTGATTGATCCCAGTTGCTGTGGTGTGTAGTGTCTGTGTGTAGGGAACTACAGATAGCGAATGTGTATACGTGTTTGTACAAGTGTGTGATTATATGTGTGTGGCTCCGTTTTTGTGGTTCTGTTTGGGAAATCACTGTGACCTGTATGTAAAGACACAGTTTTTGCATTTTTACAGGTGTACGTATGTGTGATTCTGATTGCACTGCCGGTGTGTGGATTTTTTCCCCTACCATCCAGCAATTCTCCAGCTGGGCGTCCTACAATTCAACTCAACTCTGACACCATCTAGCTGGCTGTAGTTTCAGATGCCACAGCTCAGTCCCCAAGACTGCTCCCCAACCCCCGCATGCGTGTCCCATCAGCAGCCAATCACAGTCCAGGTTGTCACCTGTGCATTTGACCAGCTAAACCCAATGATTCCCCTCCTTAAGTTTGATTAACTTGCTAGAGTGACTCACAGAACTCAGAGAAACATTTTACTCCCTAGATCATGGGTTATCATGAAAGGATATAGCTCAGGATGACCAAAGGGAAAAGATGCATAAGGCAAGGTGCATGGGAAGGGCCTTGGAAGTTTCATGTTCTCTGAGCTTGCCACTTTGCAACACCTCCATGCATTCTTCCATCAGAAGCTCTCTGAACCCCTCTGTGGGCTTTTATGGAGGCTGCATTACGCAGGCATGACTGACAACCATTGGAGCTTACACTCAATCTTCAGCCCTTCCCCCCTCCCAGTGTCACTGGACAGGGTCTGGGCCCAGAGCTGGGGGGTCTGCCTCGGGCCTGCCAGCAGTGTGTGTGGGTTCTTGACTTAGTGTAGGAAACATTTCACACCAGTCCAGGTGATTTCGAGAGTACGTTTTTTAAAGCTGGAGACAGTAAAACAAAGGAAGGGTTTAAGGTACAAGAAGCAACAGGAGAGAGAGAGAAAAGGGGGGCCTTGGAGACAGGATCACGGGTAAGCCTGGGATGAGCTGCCACTGCCCAGTGGCCCCCTGGTTGCAAGTCTCGTGGGGACCCTTAGAGTTTAGGAGAGAAACAGCAGAGATACAAGGCATGGGTGCTATGGACCCTTTGTCTTAAGGCTTTTCATCTTTGGCCAGCTGGACTCCTAGGGAAGGTCTCAGGGGAGGGTCTTAATAGAATATTCATTAGCTTTTCCGGTGTGTCCATCAATATGTTGGTTCATCAAAATGTGCGTATAGATGGGTCAGTGGTTATTTTCTGGTTATATTTTCAGAAAACATCAAAGATGGACTGGGATGGTCTGGAGTGCGTAACCATTTGCTCCTAAGTGTCCTTGGTCAGAAGATAAAACCTCATGATTCATTAGCTGATGTAAATTGCTCAAATTGTTTGGCCGTGTTTAATTTTTTTTTCTTCTTTCTCTTATTCCACTTGTCAAGGAGTTTCCTAGCTTCTCACTGTCCTGCCTCACCAGGAGGTCTGGGGTGGAGCCGAAAGCGTCCATTCTCAGGTCACAGTGGTAGGTTTTCCAGTAAACAGCCCCCATCTGTGAGGCTTTCCTGGAGTCATCTTACTAACATAACAGAAGACTCCTTCACCAGGTTCAATGCTTAGGAAATCCCAAGGGTTTGGAGAAGAGCAAATACCTATTTCTTCACACAAATGAAACATCACAGTATGTGTGTGTGCAGGGGGGACTCAGGACGTCAGTTTCTGGGACTAGGTATCAAGAGTTACTGAGTTTTGATGTCCCGACTCAATAACTACATGATGGAATTAAAACAGCAATAACACATTATTAGAAGAACTCCTGTTAGTATTGTCACCACTAGTAATAGTAGTAGCAGCTAGCTGGCACTTACTGATTGCTGTCCCTGGCCCAGAGTGTTCTGCCATTTAAGGTTTTATTAAATCCTTCAGCTTGTCTCTTAGTGTGTTTCTATTAAAATCTCCAGTTTCCAGGGGGTTAAGTAACTCACCCAAGGTCATAGAGATAGAAAAAATCAGAGTTTTGTTTTTTTTTTTTATACTCACCCGAGGACATGAGTATGGATTTTAGAGAGAGGGGAAGGAAGGAGGAAGAGCAAGGGAGAGAAGCTCACTGCCTTAGACAAGTTCACAGACTTCTTGGGGGAAGATTTTCTCATTCAGAGAATGTGCTGAACATAGCTTGATCAGGATTCGGGACACCGGAGCCCTGGCACTCTGGTCTGTCTATAGCCATGGGGGTCTCTGGACTCGTAAAGCTAAAGCTTTCCCCTCAGACCACAGCTTCCTACACTTTGCCGCCAAAGACCCCCTTGGCTTCAGGATGTTTGCCATCAATCCTTAGGCCATTTTCCGGATCCCACAGGAGAGGGACCCGGTCCCACAAGACTGGCCCGTGCCCCCCCGCCCCACCATTGGACACCAATTACAAATCCAGGTTGTCATCTGAACTTCTGACACACTGGCTACAGATCAGAGATTCTCACAACCCCCTCCTGCAGTTTAATTACCTAGAAGGGTTCACAGATCTCAGAGAAATGCTGCTCACTAGATCACTGCTTATTATTAACACAGAGATCAGAATAAACATTACCACAGGTCCAACCATGGCCCATACTAAAAACAAAACCTTGGTCCTATACCAAAAGATTGGCAAATACATTTATATTTATGTGGTTTAAAGTATTTTTTAGGTCCTAGCCAGGTACTCAGTAGATTAGAGCGTCGTCCCAATGCACCAAGGTTGCAGGTTAAAACTCAGGTCAGGGCACGTACAAGAATCAATGAATGAATGCATAGTAAGTAGTTTCTCTCTCCTCTCTCTCCCTCTCTCTCATTAAGATTAATAAACATTTTTTAAGTATTTTTAATTGCCCATTTTAACCACCTTTGTGATGAAACAACAACTGCCCCTGGTCACGATGATGAGGGACTAATTACTCCATTAATGCCCCCATTTTATGGAGGAAAATATGCAGCATTGAGAGGCAATAACTTCTCCAAGTTTGCACATCCAGCAAGGAGTGTATCTGGGGCTCGGACTCAAGAAAACCCTCCCAAGACCTGAACCAGCATTGCGTGCCTCCTCAAGTAGCAGCGAGGCACATGCAGGCTGGAGAGCTGAGACACTTGGAACAGCTCCATCTTCAGATCTTAACTTCCTCAGTGGGAAATCCTAAACCATTATTTAAAAAAACAACACAGAGCTTTTGGAATGAGTAAAACCTGGGTCAAAAATCAGTTCTGTCACGGGTGGGACCGTGGACAAATGATCAATCCCTCTGAGCCAGTTTCTTTCGCCATAAAGCAGGCGGCGTAGCAGAGCCTCCCTCTGGGGCTGTTGCCAGGATAGAGTGATTCCTGTGATTCTTGGCATCCCCCCATTCCCTACCTGTTCCTAGTTCTCTGTGTGGGGTGAATGGAATAACCGAGCGTTCAGCCATTTCAACAAGTGTACAGTTTTTGATGGAAACAATGAAGGTGGGTTGGAAGTGTCTGGAAGAAAAGGTGTAGGGGGGAACCCCTGCCAATTTCCCACTCAGCTGCCCTCTGGGCCCATCTCCTTAGGGCCCCAACAATTAGCTGTGGACCTTGAGAGAAACTGTCCACAGAATAAGGATGATTACGTGGCAGGAAGAAAGCATCAGGCTCATTTTTCCAGAAATTGTCGTTAAATGAAAAGGCATCTATGTTTCTTTGTTTTTTCTCTATTAACCTTTGGTGTCCCCTGGCATGAAATTAATTGATGACTACATAGAAAGTATTCTGAGTTAGCCAATATTTACAAAAGAACATTGACTCTTTTTGTTTCACAACTGTCATCCAGAAACTGCATTGGTGGACCTATGACAGGTGACCGGGATCAGAAACGAGGCAGGCTGGCCGTCTGTATTGCTGAGATCAGAACCACCAGAGAAAACTTGCAAGGCTGCTGTTTGAGATGACTGGAGAGTATCTCTGGATTGAAGGGATTCCTTTCCCAAAAACTACTACCGAAGACCTGAGATCTCTGCAGGATCAGTTTGTGGTGAGGGATGAAGACGTCATCACAGTTTCTTACCCAAAGTCAGGTGAGGAAGCGGGATCAGCAATTCAGGAGGTAGGGAATGGGGTCCCTACCAATTAAAGACCATAATCCGATATCAATAGTGGGAGCACTTTCATTGTTGACTCAGTAGGAATCTTGCTACACTGGTTCAGCGATGATGGACAGAGAAGGCCAAAGTCAATATGCAGTTGAAAAAAGGACTCAGAAAAATCAGACTAGTTTGTTCAGGAGTCTTTGCCAGAGGTGAAGAGGGAACAGCAGGGTACGTCCCGCACAGAATGGTTCAGATATTAAAGATACTAAAAAAAACATTGTGGAGAGTACAGGAAGAGTAGGCGCAAGAAGGCAGGCTGGCTGTGCTTAAATGGAAAATTACTGTGGAACCTGAAACTCAAAGATTTAGGAAATTATTCAAAGGCAATGTAATTCCACAGAGGTTTTTTTTTTCCCCCTTTATTCTTATACTTCACACTATTACAGATGTCCCACTTCTCCCTTTGCCCACCTCCGCCCACCCCCACCCCCTTCCCTCTGGCCATCACCACACTGTTGTATCCACAGGTCACACGTGTCTGCTCTTTGGCTAACTCCTTCCCCTTCTTTCATCCAGTCCCCCCACCCCGCTCCCCTCTGAGATCTATCAGTCTGTTCCATGTGTCCATGCCTCTGTGTCTGTTTGGTCCATCAGTTTATTCTGTTCCTTAGATTCCGTATATGAGTGAGATCGTGTGGTATTCTCTCTCTCTGATGGGCTCATTTCATAGAGAGCATTTAAATGGCACATGGCCGGGGCATGGTATGTGTGTAAAGATCACTAGGTGCTCTCTACCATGAAGGAACTTAAGAGTTCAGGGTAAGGATGGAGCAGAGGATGAGATTAGACTTCAGAATTCTGTGTCAGTAAGTGAGTCCATGGACAACTATGATCACACTAGGAAAGTGACAGAGGAAAGAGACCCAAGTGATAGGCAGTGGGTTCAAAATGATTTGGGGATTGTTAAATTGGGCAGCATTTCTGAACGGTGGCACCGCAGACACTTTGGTCTAGGTACTAAATGTTTTGGTTGTGAAAACAAAGTTTTACATATTGGGAAGAATTTGAAAAAAATGAAAGCATATTGGTGAAAACCTAAATACTTTGAAAGTGCATTTGTCCAGAGGTTGGACATTATATACTGTGGGTGTTGGATAACAGTATTTGGAGCAAAAGATACTTTCTCCTACTTATCTGGTCAGGACAAATACAAATAAACCAAGTATAAGGGTGCAGATGTAGATGGCTGCTGATAACAGAACTCCTATCAAACACATCTTAACATAAGGGGATTTCTTTTATTTTCACCCAAGAATATGTTTGGTGACTTTCTGAGAGAGAAGAAGGGAGACAGAGAAATATCAGTGAGAGAAACACTGCTTGATGGCCTCCTATATTGCACCCCAACCGGGGATAGAATCCACAACCTTGGATGTACATGATGATGCTCCAACAACTGCGCCACCTAGCCAGAGTGTGATTCCTTTTATTGTAAATGCACTGTCTCGAGTTATGCCATTGGCACACTGCATTCAAAATTTAGGCATTGAGAAGGGCTGACCCGCTGGCATGTCTGATGGTGGTTTCCTCCCCACGGCTCCCAGGGAAGCGTGCGGTCTGGGCAAGTGAGTCCTCTCCGTTCGTTCAAAGGCAGAGGCAGGTGGTTACAATGGCTGACCGTTCCCCTCTTAGGCGTTTCTTCCAGGAGAACGGCAAATGTCTTTCCTCTTTTGAAGCTTCCCAGACCCTTTCCCTTGTAGAGCATTTCCAGGCATCCAGGCGTGTGTTCAGCCCTAACTTCACCTGAGAAGGAACAATTAGCATGTGACTACTGTCAAGGCAAAAACAGTGTCTACCTCACTGGGAGAGCGTGTGTCCACGACTCCTCCCTGTGCGATCTCTACGCCACACTTAGCTAGGAGGACCCTGCTTGGAGGAAGGCAGAGCTCCCTCTCCTGATGGAGTTTTGATGTTTGTACAAGCTTCCTTCCTTAACGATGTTTCCTCTGCCTGGCCTGCTGGTGCATGCGAGTCAAGCTCCATGTATATAGTATGGCGTCAAAATTTTAGGATGGCCAGGGCTGCTCCTGTGTTTCGAGAAGCAAAGGATATCGAGCGGTTTAAGAAAGAGTAACAGGGCTCCAGCAATCCCACTTCTGGTATAAACCAAAAGAATTTGAAAACCGTAACTGGAAGAGGTAGTTGTACACCCACATCCCTAACAGCGTTATTCACAATAAGTAGAAGGTGGAATCCACATTGATGTCCGGTAATGGTGGAACAGAGAAAGAAAATGTGGTATAAACATATGGCGGGGTATTATTTAGCCTTGAGAAACAAATTCTGATACTTGCATCCACATAACTGAACCTTGAGGACACTATACTAGGTGAAATGAGCCACTGAGAGACGACAAATGATGAGTGATTCCGTTCACACGGGGTACCGAGCGTGGACTGCTGCAGAGAGACAGACAGTAGACTGGTGTTGCCAAGGGCAAAGGTGGGAGGAGCCTGTTGTTTAATGAGTATACTTTCATGTTTGGCAGATGAAATGAGTTCTGTACACAAGAGTGAACAGTATACATGTACTTAACACTAATGAACTGAACACATTATAAAGGTTAAGATAATGAATTTTATGTCATGTGTAATTTATTATAATTTTAATTTTGTTATATTTAGAAAGAATGCGAGGGGGTGATGGTCTCAGGAAAGCCAGAGCAACAGAGTGTTTAAGGATAGATCAATGGTATGTGACGAGCACTAAGGTGGGAAATTTACAGACACGGGGTCGATGCAGAACTGCCGGTGTCTTGAAGACATCACGGGGGAGTCAAAAGTTATTTGAAGAAGGTAACTGTTCTTTCTCATGCAGGAACTAACTGGATAAAGGAGATTGTCAATCTGATCCACACCAAGGGAGATTCCAGCTGGGTACAATCTACTCTCAGCTGGGAACGTTCACCGTGGCTAGAAGTAAAGGAGCAGCTTGATCTCGTTGTGAATCAGAAAGGCCCACGCTCCTACACCTCCCATCTCCCCGTTCAATTCTTCCCCAAGTCATTCTTCAAGTCCAAGGCCAAGGTGAGCTAATTCTGCAACGTTGGCCTGGGTCACTCCTCGGGCTGGCCTGGGCGCCTGCGACCTATGGCAGGTTTGCAGATGATTCAGTAAAGCGCGATGTTAGAAAAGCTTCTGAGGTACAGTGTCATATTCCAGATACCTTCCCTGGTGTTGGCACACAGCAGTCTCACTCTTCAGGTAAATCAGTCCTGGCAGTAGCACCAACCGAGGTCCGTCCCCTATGTTGACAGGACTGTGGGGGAGCAGCCCAACTGTAAGGCAGCGCCTGTATCGCAGAGGCAACTACGCTGGGCTCCTGCATGTGAAACCCACCTGGCTTTTCCCAGTCACGATGCCATCCGTGTTGTGCTGGTCTTTCCCGCTCAGTAGGTGCACAGCCCTCCGATGAAAAATTTCAGGAGCTTGAAAAGGTGCCTGTGGTACTGAGTGATTTGAGGCTTACGTGTGCAGTTTTCCTCACCTGAGATATAGGTGAAGACACATGATGCCATAAGCATCACCCACCTTGGAAGAAACTGCCCCAAAACATCTCGTGTGATGTGGTAGTAGTAGTATCATGAAAATACACTGATGCCACACAGGCTTACATTACACTACTATTGTACATTTGTTTGCTTTACTGTCAGATTCATTTATTTTACAGTGATCACCATTATTACCGAGAGCATGACTACTTTGTACTAATTTTTTGAATAGTTCATTTGCATTATCCTTATTCTCCATTACCATTTTTCTCCCCTATACCCTCTTCCACTGCCACCCAACCCCCTACCCGCAGTCACCACACTGCTGACTGTGTCCATTAGTTCATTATGTTTTTCGCCCGATCCCTCCACCACTCGAGAGCTGGCTATTTTGTCACTATTTTTTTTTTAACCGTTTCTACAAACCTGGCAGAATGCTCAGAACATGATAAAGGTTACGGAAATACTGCATCCAGAAAGGACAAATATCCGGTGACCTTGGTGTGTGCACAATAGGCCAGCCCTCGGCTGTGGATCCCGTACCTCTGGACATACCAGGGCCATCTCTGCAGACCTCCCTCGCCTCTGGCATTCCATGCTGTCACTTCCAGTCACATTGGATGCCCAGACTTCACTTTGTCTCCTCAGGCCAGTATGGCCCTCTGCTTGGGTCATGCGATCTCCCCTGCGGTTAACAAATAACCCACAGGCAGAGAGCAACTGTCGGGGTCTCCATCTGCCAAGTTCTTTCTCCAGCGAACCTCTGCCTCATATGGCTCGTGTCTAGTACCTGAAAAGTATTACCTGATGTAGTTCACCAGGTCTGGTAGTTTTTTTTGTCTCAGGAAGACGAGTCAGTGACAGCTATTTCATCAACCCTAGGAGTAGATATACTTGTATTTTATTGTGAGAGCTGGAAGGGGCTAAGCAAACAGAATTAATTAGCAGATTAACAGGGCAGATATATGGTTGGCTTGATTGGTTGGCTGTTTCTGTCTGTCTGTTTCTGAGAATTTCAGGGGCCTGCGTTTTACCACAAAGAACTCACGCTTATGGAGTGTCGTTAGTGCTGGGCACTTAAACGCCACGGCCCCCTGTGGTGCGCCTGCATATGTCTGCTGTCTGTCTCGCTCCCCTTCACTAAACTAGACCTTGGACCCCCCTTGCTTCGAATGCCATGGGCTCTCATACCTGTTCTCAGCCACTTGTGATCCATGGCCGAGTTGTAGGCCAGGTCTTCCCCATGCCTGTACATGCGAAAAGCAAGCCTTAAGCAGATTTTAGAGGCTGAGAACACTTGACTTTCTCTTTTCTCTGCACCTGGTTTCCACATTTTGAGTAAACATTTGAGAAACCCTCGTATTGCATTCATCCCCTGAGGCTGCACCATTTACAGCAGGAAAATGAGCCTATTCATGCCACCATTTGGAATTTTATTAACACTTATTAACATTTTATTGACTAATGTTAATGGCCTTCCTGGTTTATTAAGATCATTAACATTTGTCTGATCAGTATCTGGGAAATGCTTATGTGGTAGAAATTTCTAGGAAAACTAACAGAGGCCCCGAACATGATCTTCCTGGAAAAGTGCTGAGTAGAAGCCACTGTCATACTGCCAACAAAACACAGATTTCCTGATTCGTTGCCCACAACCTCTCACACGGTGGCGCCTAAGAGTCACAACCTCCCTTTCCCCGTGAACCTTTGGAGACCTTTTTCTGCCATGCCTCAGAGCGTCATGATGCCCCTGAGAGCAGAATGGTGCAACTGCTGTTCACAGCTGCTTCTACGGTGCCTAAGAAAATGTCTCCCACATGGTGGTGTCCACAAATTTTGTTAAATCAATGAATTAGAGAAGAGTAAATTATAGCCAACATGGTAATGGGAGTTAGATTTTTCTCCGTTGGCCAATATCCTTAAGCACGGAATATGGATACATTGACTCTCGTTTCCTCCTTTTTTATTTAAGCTCATTTACATCATGAGAAATCCCAGAGATGTTCTTATTTCTGCTTATCATTTCAATAAGACAGTGAAAGTCATCAAAAATACGGATTCATTTGAAGAACATTTTGAATGGTTCCTTCAAGGAAAAGGTGAGTCTACCTCAAAACAAGGTTTCAGATAAAACAGTGGAGGAGTCTCTGACCCTCTCCCTTCAGGTCTTAATATCTCATGGTCTAGACAACAACATTACAAACAACATCAGTCACGACACCTATAACATGGAATCTTCAACATCCTTTGCTCCCAGAGCATTTTCCTAGGTGTCATACACACATAAAGAGATAACTAAGATAACTCAGAACACGTCAAATAGAAAAAGTGTGAATGTAAAGTACACTGAGACTTTGCATCTCACCAATATGTTGGGAAGTGTGTCACTTTTCTCTCATGGCTATGAACAAATTGTCACAAATTTAGTGCCTCCATACAACAACCAAGAAGTTTCTTACTATCTGGAGGTCAGAAAGCCAAATCATGTTTCATGGACATAAATTAATGTGAGGGCCTTGCTACATTCCATTCTTGAGGCTCTGGGAGAGAATGCACATCCTGGGTTTTTAGCATCGAGAGGTGCCCACGGTCCTTGGCTCATGGCCACATCCTTCCGACTCGGCCGTCGTCACATCCCCTCTATATGGTTCTCATGCCCCTGCTCTCTCTTATGAGGACCCCCATATTCGAGAAATGCTTCGACCTGGGTAATCCACGACAGTCCATCTGAAGATCCTTAATCACATCTTCAAATTCCCTTTTCCCATAAAAATAATATTTACAGATGTTTAGGATTAGTCCATGAATACAGTGGTGGGGGTCATTATTCTTCTTACCTTAGCTCTCCTTCAAAACATTTAAATCACATCTGGTGGTGAGACCCTGCATATAACACATGCTCAAGTGTTGATGGTGGGAAGGAAAATGTACTAACCAATCTATGGTAATTTTTAAAGTTCTGACATTTGAGTATTTACGCTTTCATGTGTGACTTGCCATGCACCAATAGAAAAAAAAATACAAAAGCAGAAAAGTTGGATTTATAAGACTATTTAAATAATCCTTATTCGTACGATGCCCTGTCCAAGACAAATCAATTACATCAAAGTGATAGGATCACCCCATAGGACCCCCCAGCTACAAGCATCTGAATACAGTGGCCGTGGGTAAGGAAGCGTTCCTCCTAACATGTGCTGTCCCTAAGCTTTGGGGCGGGCAAGGAAGAGAGAAAAACAAATGTCTGCTACAGGTAGTTACACTATGACTCACGGCGGGGGGAAAAAAAAGACACTGACTTCAAACTAGCTGGAGTTTCACTTTAGCCCTTTAATTTCTTAACTGAACTCTCTTCAGAATTCAAAATTATTTTATCGCTGGTAGATGTGGAACTCATCTTAAACATGGTCTCTTACACAGCATCCACTGCTCAGCCATGCAGGCCGCTAATGTGGAATTCTACTTCTCATGCAAATGAGAGAAAGAATTTCCAGCACTTCAGTCACTTGCTCATCAAGTGCTAAGGCAGAGCTAACCTTTGCAGAGTTCCCTAGGCAACAGAGCTCAAACGAGAATTAGTTACCTTCGTGCTTCACCTCTCTTACAGTGATGTTTGGCTCATGGTTTGACCATGTTCGTGGATGGCTGCAGATGAAAGGGAAAGAGAATTTCCTAGTAATATCCTATGAGGAGCTGTATCAGGTAGTTCTTCTACCCCAAAACAACTTGCTTTCCAGCTTTATTTCATAGCTGTCTGCTTCCCCTCCATTACTCACTGTTCCCATTCTACACTTCCTATCAGAGCCGGTCACAGAAACGTCATCGTCTCTCCTTCATTAACCTCTGGTTGGCACACATTCTTCCTCTGATTCTCTTATTTACGTCATTTTAACATATTTAATGCATGTGCTGAGGAAGCGCTTAATGTTATATGTACATGGTGAAGGCTATCAATGATTCTACAACAAAAATCGAGTGCAATTTGGGAAGCCAGCCGCAGCGTCAGTGGGGATAAAGCGTAACGTGGGACTTGACAGGGTTGGACAGGTGCCGGAAGTATTGACATGTTCGCAGGTTGTCTGAAAGAAAAGGAGTTCCTGTAGGAGTTGATTACGTCAGAAATTATAGAAAGTGTTAGTTGGCATCAAAATGTTGCTTGTGGAAACCGAGTTTGTACACAGAATCACTAGAAAAGCATTTCTGGAGATGCACACGTGGGAGGACGAGGCGTAGTGCTGAGACTTACTGGGGTAGAAATAAATAGCCACCCCTATGACCTTGGTGCCTTCTGTTTGTGCCGTTTAGGAAGAAGGTCAGCCTTGCCTTCACCAAGCCCAGAAGAGGCCAGGGCCCAGAATTCTGTGCCATCACTTAATGAGTTCACGTCAAAGTTTTTTCCGGTTCAATCTCTGTCCCCACGTGGGCTAGCTTAGTTTCCATTCCCAGCTGCACTCCAGCCGGACTGCACTTGGAGCCACAGTGTAAGCCTCACGTGACTGTTAAAACCCCAAGGCTGCTACAGAGAGAGAACACGTGAGCACTAACAAAGGGCGATTGCTGTTATCAAGCAGGAGACCTTTGTTAAGCTTTGATTATAGGACCTCAGGATGTCAAAGTGACCAGTCCTTATCACAGTTCTTCACAAGCTTGGGCTGGGCCTTCCCTTTAACTAGTCTGGTCTTTTCACCAGATTAGACACCTCCCCTCTAGGGTCTCCATCTTGAAGCCTACTGAACACGTCCCCGCTGACGATTTCCCCCAGTTCTCTGCAGATAATGCTGCTACCAGTCAGAAGAGATTAAGTCACTTCAGTGGACGATGCTGCGATCCCTAGAAAGCCTTTGAAGGCTGTGGCTTCCTAGAGAATCAGGCTATTGTCCAATACAGCTCCTGCGTTGATTAGGCTTAAGTTGATTCCATTTCCTCTGACTGTTTAATCATACTAGCTATGTAACTATACTCGCAAAGTCAAAGCAGCTGAAGCGAATTTCACTCACTCTGTTAGTCTCTAACAAGCATTACCTCGTAAGGACTCTCCTCAATCATGAACTCAGTTACACATGTTCCAGACAAACATGGCGATTTAATGCTCCTCCTGCTATTCTTTGTTTTCTCACTTCTCCTCACCTTCATTCTCTGCTTCTCTGCCGTCTCTGCCTTTTTCTTATTCCCTCTCTCACTTTACTTTCACGTTTCCTGTTCTGTGCTTCTCCTTAGGACATAAGAGCCAGCGTAGAGAGGGTCAGCCAATTCCTGGGTGTGAAGCTAAGTCCAGGAGAACTGAACTCAGTCCTCAAGAATGTGTCCTTCCAGGCCATGAAGGACAATAAAATGAGCAACTTCTCTCTAGTATCAGATGCCTATATGGATCACAGCAAAGGAAAACTTATGAGAAAAGGTAAGAGAGTTTCTACTTTTACGACACAAATGAAGTGGACAATGATCTCCCCACCTCTACGGACACTCTGAGACATGGGATGATGGAGCTGTGGGAATGTACACAGACCACACAGTGGGAGCTGGCCTTAAGAGTTTAAGGTGTTTTGTATTTATTAGGTTGTAAAGTAAACTCAGACACAAGAAACACTGCTGCTGAACCCCACATCGCTTGGGGTGCAAATTGGCCCACCCATTTCCTAGATGTGGCCCATCAGGTAGAGCACACTCTTGTTTTCTATACGGAGATTCCACTCACAGTGTTAGTGTGGTACCTAGGCGTGTAGAATGACAAACTCCTAATATGCATGACAATGGGAATATCTATTCCATTAAAACAAGCATTAAATGGGGCCATTGTGGAGAAAAAAGTGAGAGGAAGGATGTGAGATTTAGCTTCAGACCTAATGTTCCAATGAAATGCCTATGATAAAATTGAAACATGGTTATTGAACATAAGAAATGACAGTGCTGAATGCGAAGACTGCGATGATTCCATTGTCAATCTGGATTTAAAACAGAGTGTTTGGGGTGAACTAAAGCAGATGATACCAGCCCTGGCTGGTGTGGCTCTGTGCTGAGTGCCAGACAGGGCACATCCTGGGTTGCAGGCCATGTTCCCAGTAGGGGCACGTGAGAGGCAACCCCTCATTGGTGTGGTTTCTCTTCCCCTCTCTCCATTCTCTTCTAAAAATAAATAAATACTGTCTTTAAAAAAGAGAGAGAGAGAACATGCCATAGCTGGTGTGGATCAGTGGACAGAGCGCAGGCCTGAGAACCAAAGGGTCGCCTATTCGATTCCCAGTATAAGGCACATGCCTGAGCTGCAGACCACGTACCGAGCAGGGGGTGCGAGAAATGTTACCGCACATTGATGTTTCTCTCCCTCTCTTTCTCCATCCCTTCTGCTCTCTAAAAATAAAGAAATAAAATCTTTAGGAAAAAAAGAGAGAACATACACTGGACTGTGGGCTGGGCTACCCAAAGGAAGAGCATTCAAGGCAAGGAAGACTCTTGATAGCTTCGGGTAGTGCAGTTGGGTGCTATGCCCCTCGTGGGCGCAGAGTGCAAGGATGAGGACTGACGTGCACTCGACATCTATACGAGAACTCCAGTCCCACCTTTAGGACACGGGGCAAGAGCAACATTGTCCTAAAGAAATGCCTTGCGTGTTAAAGAGGCAGACAAGTCATATCCTAACTCAGTGCCTGGCAGAGAAGAAAGTGCTGTTGTGCCTTTGCTGCTCATCCTCACAGTCGCTGTGAGGGCGCTACCGGGAACAGATGGCATAGCGTAAACTCAATCTATTAGGCAAGTCGTTCTGGGACTGCAGCCAATGGCACGTGAATCCGGATCACAGAAATCTGGCCACTCGGCTACATTGAGGGCCTTTTCCAGTCCAGTGCATGTGACACATTCACAGTAGGGACAGACACAGACCTTCAAATTATGTATTGGACCTTGTTTACACTAACCTGGACTGACTTTGTGTTTGACAGGAATCACCGGGGACTGGAAAAATCACTTCACAGTGGCCCAGAGCGAAGCCTTCGATCAAGTTTACCGAGAGAAGACGGCCGGGCTTCCCCCGGGTCTCTTCCCATGGGACTAATGGCCTCGTGTGCCTGCATGTGGTCTAAATGCCGAAACTTCCTGAGGTCTTTGGGTCCCGGCCTGCTCATACAAGCCAGCTTTGTGTTGAATGTTACAGTGCATTTGCACTTAATTGACAATAACCGTGTTCCTTTTTACAGGTTTGAGCCATGTCAGCTTCAAAAAGTTCTGGAATAGTAACGGTCAGAATAATAAAGAAAACAATGTTTTAAAGCTAATGCCCTTTCTAAATGGGTTAATGAATAAATGTTACTACAGTCCCACATGTGTGGCACATACACCACCACCAGGAGCCACAGCGCACGCGTGCACACACACACAAACACACCACACCTTCGGTGCCCACCGCCAAACACACATATTCTCGGTATCTGTGACATCCCACCTTAAATGAGAACTTGAGCGTGCATATTTCTGCAGAGAAGGCTTAGAGTGCCTATTCACCAGCTGCTGTGGTTGAGGCTGTGGCGTAGGCTGTGGCACACGTCAGGACAACAGCTATCACGGGGCGCTGGCAATCTGGCCACTACCGCACGACCGATCCCAGGCGAGCCTTCAGGCACAGGGAGCTCTTTGTTGAGGTCGCTCTAGACCACCAGACCCCAGTCACGTGGCCAGCTGGGTGTGGACACGTGAGGGACACCCGTCCACATCTGTATCCGCAGCCTGGAGCGGAAGGCCCACCTGCTGCGGGGACAGGCTGCTCCGCGGCCTGGCCACTGACTGGCCCTCGAGCTACAGCTGGGCCAGAGGGGCACTGCCTGTCGTGGACCTCCGTGGTGGCAGTTGGATTTTCGACTCTGTGTATTTGGACACTAAGCAGCCCCTCCCCGAGCCTCCCGGCTTGTGCTGGGTCTGGCAATCACGCCAGTTGTGCTGACCTGATCAAGCACAGACAGGAATATCCCATAAGTGGTAGCTTCATGTACGAGGGCCCTGAGTCTTCCCATCCTTCGTCCCTGTACCAGACATTGGCACCTGCAAAGGGGTGTGGCCATCCATTCTACCTTGTGGCCGCCCTCATATGCCAGTTTTGCTTAATAAACTATGAATCACCAAGGTCTTTCCTTGGTCTTTCCCTATCCTGTGCTTACAAAGGAAGATTTTTCTCTTAGGACCCTTACACAGATCTTTTAGAGAGACGAAGGGAGAGAGAGAGAGAAACATCAATGTGAGAGAGAAACATTGATGGGCTGCCCGACAGGGGATCAAACCCACACCCTAAGTATGTGCCGTGACTGGGTATTGGACCTGTGACCTTTCTGTCCTCAGGATGCCGCTCCTACCAACTGAGCCACACTGGCCAGGGCTGCCCAGTTCTTATAGTCAATGCTTTTTGTTTTAGGTCACCAAGCACTGGAGTTGTTTACTACACAGCAATAGTTAACTAATAAAGAGTATATCGCTAGAGATGGAATTGCTAAAATAGAGTGGCTCAGGCGGTTGGGCATCGTTCGTACACCAATGGTTCCGGGTTCCATTCCCGGTCAAGGCACATGCCTAGGTTGCAGGTTCAATCCCTTGCGGGGGTGCATAAAGGAGACAATCGATTGATGTTTCTCTCTCACATTGAAGTTTTTCTCTCTCTCCCCACCCCTTTTTCTCTCAGGTCAATAAAAGTAGCCTTGGGTGAGGATTAAAAAAATAATTTAAGAAAAGAAAAGCTGAGCTGGTTGCTGTCGAGTGAGAGAACGGGTCAGTAACCGGGATCAATGGCCTTGCGGCGAAAGGACACAGAGTGCGATCAAACAAACAGAACAGAGCAGCTCGGACACACCTCCCCACGGCCCAATCACCAGCTCCCCAATCCAGGAAACGGGTCAGTCTGGTAACTCGGCCTCACCTTTCCTACCTGACGGGAAACCTCGGCTCTCTAACAGGCTCTAGTTAGGCACCACGTGCGCTGGTGAACCGATGCAGAAACTGCATTTTCCACCCAGGACCACCAGAGTTCCTCCTCACTTAGTCGTCTCTGTCAGGTCTGGAGAACCAGAAAGGCCACGCTGTTACTTTGGAGCGTCCCAGAGTGGCCAGAGCGGCACGGGACTCTTGTCCCATTACCACGGGGAGTCTCAGGGCCACCTGTTCCAATGCATCAGCTCTGGAGCTTCGGAATAAGACCCGCTGTGCTGAGAAGAGCGTGGAGCTGGGACAGACCCGTGGATTTTCTGCCTTCGTCAACCGGCACGTTTATGTGGCACAATCCTGGGAGCTAAGGAGCTCACACGTATGTGACCTGAGTGGCGTCGAGGATGAAGTGTTTGGTGACAGAAGATTCCAGGTGTCCAAGACCACATCACCATGACCACGAGGGTGGGGATATTTTATATATCCTGTCACCACAAAAGATAAAAACGCCGGCACAGCTGACACCCCAGGTCAGCGGGCCCTTCTTTCCCAGGACAGGGTACATTTCACGATTCCCGTCACTGTCCCTCTGCCTTGGTTCTCCAAATGTTCCTGTCGGCCCACGAGAGCAGAGCAGGCTGGGAAAACGGCCTCAGGCGGCCTGTCCCCTGCTGCTCCCGGCTGTAAAGCTTCACTGTGCTCCCTAACTAAGTAGGTCCAGAACGTTGGTCCACCACATGTTGCTCATGGTAACGGGCAGCTTTGTCACAGGGGCCTCTGGACCCTGACTTATACACGGTTGGGGTGGGGAGATGTCTTGGGAGACTTCAGGACATTTGGTGCTTTGGCAGACGCTTATATCCCAACAGGTAGCACTACAGTCCCTCACAATTTCCTTGCCAGGGTCAAAGACGCCGCCTGTGGCATCGAACGGAGCGTTTGCAAACAAGGAGGATGTCTCTGCTGTCAGAAGAGGTCTGTGACCCATCCGACCCACAGAGCAATCCCGGACCGAGGGCTCGACTCAGTCACTAACTGTCCGCTCGGACGCCGCTCCGTCCACCCGCTGAGCATGAGAACCGTCGCCACGAGCGAGAAGGCCCCTGAGCACTGTGTGAGCTGGGGGCGGGCACTCCCCCTCGTTGTGCCCCTCTCTGCATACGCAAGATACAAGTCGGTCTTAACCCCGATTGCACCCTGATTGCTGGGTGTAGAGACCCCAAGAAGTCATTTACACACTGCATTTAGCAAAGCGCCTAGCCCATGCAGAGAGCTCGATTAATTCAGGCCTTTTTATTATTCATGATGTTCACGTCAGATTATAACTGCTACCCTTCACGTTGCCGGGAAATGACATGTGAACGTGGCTGGCGACATTGCCACTTCCTAAAAAGGCACTGAGTATACTAGGCCTGTGACCCAGTTGGGCTAACGTGTGAAATCAGCCATTGTGGCCACCAAAGAACACGAGGGGAAGACTGACTTCAAAATCATGAGACGACACGAGGCAAGACAGATGTCACCAAGTGGGCGGCCACTTTATCTTTTAGATAAAGAGGATGGGAGAGAGGCAGGGAGGGTGCCAGGGAGGGAGGGAGAGACGCCCGTGTGTGGGGTGAGAGAGAAAGATCGACTGGCCGCCTCCTATATGCTCCCCAACCAGGGTTCTAACCCGCAACCTTTTGCTGCACAGGATGACGCTCCAACCAACTGACCCACACAGCCAGGGTCGTAAAAACAATTTTGATTAGTGCCCATCTTTAAAATATAGACACACCTGGACATGAATTGGGGTTTGTTGGGGGCGGGGGGGGGGGGGCGCGGAATCACGTGTTAGGTAAATCCTGGGTCTGCATACCCACGCGGCAACACTTTGCTGGAGACCTGGGCCGGCTTCGCAGTCTGTCACAATCATACCTCTCTGGTGTCACAGCCAGGCAGCCTCCGTCACCGTCACCTGTCCAGCCCCCCAGCCTACCTGAGTTTGAGAACCCGCCTGGGAAGCCACACCCATCCCTGTTCGGAGGCGCAATTGCAGGATGTGGCCACCAGGTGGCACCTTGGCCGCGCTCGTCAACCACTAGAGGGCGGGCGAGCACTTCCCACTGTCAGGCCGAGTCAGAAAAACAGGCCATCTACTGAGGTCCTACTGTGTGCTGGGAGCATGGCAGGCTACATCCTCAAGTTCTTACAAGTGCGCGTAGCCAGTTGGGCTTTCCACGCGGCAGACGAGGGAAGTGAGGCTCAGACAGCGACACCCGGTTCAGCGTCATTTATAAGACAGGGCAACACCTTTCTGGGCTTCCAGCATATTACACGGAGGTAGCTATGGGTCAAGCGGTTGGCAGAATTTCTGCTGAGCTGCATGCACCCAGCAAATGGCATTTAGGTGTGTATACTTTCACAGCTGCTTGGTTATTATTGTTACCTATTAGCTATATAAGTCCACTTTTGCTGGTCAGTCCCTGCAGCCAGGCTCTTCGGCAGCACAGCGATGGGACCCTGACTCGGAGCGGGCCCGAGGGCCTCTGTCCATCCAAGCTGCGCTCCTCTGCCCCCTTGAATCTAGTGTCCAGAGAAATGGGACAGAACTCACCTAGTCTTCAACCATCTACATCCACTTGTGCGTTCTCTCTCTCTCTCAGATTTCACAGTACTTTTTCAGAAACTGTTTCTGGGGTGCCCCCGGACCTGTCTCCCTCCCCAGCCCCAGTGAAGTAAGTGCTACCTTGATATGGGTCCCCTGGGCTCCTGTACTCGTCCTCATCATAGCACTTCTCATACGGGCATGGCTGTCCATTCCTCTGTCCGCCCCTGCCCAGGGCAGTCACAGAGAGCCCCAGGAGGGAACGAGGAGGCGCGCCTCGGTCCGCAGGGCCTGCTGTTAACCTGGGCTGAACCCTGGGGGGGCCTTGCTATTTCTTCTTTTCGTTCCCCAGCTTTATCACACTGTACAATGGCCACAGAACATCGTGGAAGTCTGAGGCGTTGACTTGACATATCGCTACTGCAAACGATTACCACCATCCATCCCAAGGCATCAATACCACTCCTTTAAAAAAACAGAACAAAATTGACACAGCCTCCCCTGTGGTCAAATGAAGCCCGGTCTTCAGGGCGGATCCCCAGCCCCAGCCCCGCCTCCCACTTGTGAGTCCAAATTGCAAGAGGTTAAGTAAATGCAATAACATTGCTCTGAAGACTTGCAACCACACAGGCCCAGACCCTACCTTAATTTAATGGTTATTCCGACAGTCCTGGACTTCAGACTCAAAAAGAAAGACGAGGTCTCCCCTGGGACAAGGGGGACTCGGAACTCCATGTTCCGATTCTGACACCTACTATCGTGTTTTTTTCCCACCCCACAAGG